AGGGGGGAGGGGAAAGAGGGAGAGCGTGAGAGGGGGATGGGTACCGGGGTGGAAGGGAGTTTGGAAGGGGAAGGGAGGGAGGGAGGGAGGTTGGCAACTGACTCTCACCTCCAGGGACTCCTGCTGTGCCTTCTGGCCCATGAGGACCCGCCAGTCCGTTGTTGCCTTGCACACCAACCGTTCCTGTAGGAAGCAACCGAGATCAGCGAAGTTGGCAGGAAGACGACGACGAGGAGGAGGAGGAGGAAAAGAATGATCAGCTGTAGTGGCAAGATGCGTTGGGTGGGAGAGTTGGGGGGGTGGGGGGGGGGGGGGGGAAAGGAGGAGGAGGAGGAAGGATGATATTGAGGGACCTGCTACTCCGTTGATTCCGTGAATTCCTGAGTTACCCACAAGGCCATCGGCACCTGCAGGCAGACGACAACGATCACAAAGAGTCGAAAGCCAAGCACAGAAAGGAAACGACAGCATGGACCTCCTCCTGGCAAGCTGTCTTCTCACCCTTCCCCCTTCCCCCTTCTCATCATACCTCGGGGCCCAGTCTCTCCGTACTTGCCAGGCCGTCCAGGCATCCCCTGAACTCCAGGAGTGCCGGCGACGCCCGGCGCGCCATGTGCTCCTTCAAGGCCCATGTGCCCCTCCTGTCCTTGGACTCCCATAGGGCCTGTAAAGGAGGAGAATGAGGAGTCGGAAAGATGAGGGAGAGGCAGAAGGGAGGAAGCGGAAGAGGCAAAGGGAGCAGGGAAAGGAAGTGAGATGAGGACGAGGAGGAGGAAAAGAGAAAGGGAAGGGGAGGAGGAGGCAGGAACTTGAAAGGGCTGAAAGTGTGAGCTGCTAAGTGGAGGATGGGACGAAGAGTTCTTGCAACGGGTGCCGACTTACCGGGAGGACCATGAAGACCAACAAAGCCGATGGGGCCCTGCAGCACAGAGACGATCCGACGTGAGAAAACAGTCATGGGATACAAGGAGGAGGAGGCGGCGAGCTAGCAAACAAACGAAGGAAAGAAGGAGGGATATTTCAGCAGCAGCAGCGGGAGGACGAGCATCGGCAGGTAGAGGAGGCAGGCAAAGAAAACTGCCAGCTGCATCACCTGCGGTCCCACGGGTCCACGAGGTCCGTAGACATTCAGACCAGGAGCCCCTTGCATGCCTCTATGCCCAGTCTCTCCCTTGATCCCCTGCAGCCCTTGCAGGCCGTGTGCCCCGGCAAGGCCCGGCAAACCTGCCGGTCCCTCCCTACCTCGAGCCAGTCAGTCGTGAACCTCGCCCACTCCTCTTCCATCCCACCTGCCCGGCGGCCCCTGCTGACCGGCTGGGCCGATCTCGCCGCTCATCCCGGGCTCGCCGCGTCTTCCCTCCCTCCCTTCGGGTCCCTGAAGGCCCTCGGGCCCCATATGGCCCATCCCTCCTCTCGCTCCCATCAGCCCAGGCATGCCCCGGGCGCCCACGAAGCCCACGGGGCCCCGGGGACCGACGGGCCCAGGCTTGCTGAGGAAGATCTTGATGGCTGAAGAGAGATCATCCATGTTGGAGGAAGCCGTTCTTATGGCGTTGAAGTCCTCGTGCTGCTGCATCCAGCCCTTCCTCATCGCCCTGGACCAGCGGCCAGTATCTGTGTCGAGGCTCTTCACCTCGTCACTCAGTCTCCCAATCTTGTTCTGCAGGCTCGTCGTCACGAGGTCCGAACAGTCCGGGGTCAGGCAGCCGCCCGGTATGCCTAGTCTCACGCTGTCCCGTGAGGTCTTGGAGGAAACCAGGTACACACTGACGAGCAGGAGGGACAGCAAGCAGCCTGTGAGGAGCATGGAGCGAAGAGGCGAACCCTTGCGACAGGTTCCAGGTTGTCGTTCAGGCAGCAGCGGAGTTCGACTTGCTGCCATTGCAGCTGCTGGTCCTTCGGTCGGCGTGACTGCTAGGGGAGGGGTCAGAGCCGTCTACAAGTTTTGTTCGAGAAAATTCAAGATGAGAGCACTGCTCGATCGTGAGGAGAAGACAAAGACCACGAAGAGGAGGAAAGGACTTGTTTCGACTCAGCACTCACAGTATCTGCCCACATCACACGGATACAAGGTTCATCGGACAGATGAGCTCGTGCAGAACAATAAGAGCCGCAAGGTACCAACGACGTGAGTGGAGAAATGAAACTTGAGCATGTCAGAGGCTACGCTACGAATGCACATGGAGATGTCGAGGGGAACAGGGTGGCGATGAATCAGCAAGTGGAACAACATGGAGGAATGGAAGAGAGTTAGAGGCCGACAACTGCCGTGTGTCAGAGGCAAAGAAGATCAAGAAGGTGAAAGTTGAACGCAGGAGGAGCAGGGGGAGCAGGAGGAGCAGGGGGAGCAGGGGGAGCAGGAGGAGCAGGGGGAGCAGGAGGAGCAGGGGGAGCAGGGGGAGCAGGGGGAGCAGGAGGAGCAGCCAGCACTCCGCAGCTGCGGCAGCATGAAGGGTCGCGATGTAAGCGGAGTGGGTCCGCCTCAGTACACTTTGTGAAACTAGCTGGTGTATCGGGCGCCTGCATGTGATCCGCCGTCGCCAAATAGCCTGATGACAGGGCCGGGCAGTCTCAGTCAACCGTTGAACGATCAGATGATTTTGAGTAGATGTCAGAGAAGATGGGATCACTGATGATTGGAGGCGTGGGAAGATTGACGGACAATTTCTGTGGATTTAAGATTTATCGTGTCACTGTCAGCCTGTTTGAAGTTTCTGAGCAGAGGCGGCAACTGACAGGAAGTAATCTTAAGCTGCCAACGCCTTCACTATGCTTGCAATGTATGTATGTCCGAGCGCTCCCTGCGCTCCCTGAGCTCCCTGAGCCCCATGAGCTCCTCCGCTTGAGCCCACGGCACCGGGAGGGCCTGGACTTCCAGGCGCACCAGAAGCTCCTGCACCAGCATCAGGTCAGCGTCTGACGGCACGTGAAGTATCTCGATCAGCACCTCCTGGTCCATCCACTCCTCTTGCTCCAGCTGTTCCAGGCTGTCCAGGAGAGCCCGTTACACCAGTGGCTCCGGCTGTTCCGATAATTCCCATAGGACCTGACGCAGAAGCGTGAGAACCGACGAACATCGGGGAATGCAAGTCATTTACCCGACAATCCGTTGTTGCCCTGGATTCCGACAGTTCCTGCACAGTCAAAAGCATGAGGGGGAGCAAGCACTCGCCAGCAAGGGCTGGTTCCAACCGACCTGCTACACCCGGGGGACCTGGCATTCCATGTTCGCCAACGATACCGTCCATACCTGTTGAAGTAGACCATCACTACAGGGCTACTCCCCTCTCTCAGCGAATAACCTCTCTGCCCGGGCATGCCTGGGATCCCTCTTCTTCCAGGAATTCCTTGTATTCCTGGCTGACCCGGATATCTATTAAAGGGTTGTCATTGTCACGGACAGTGGTGAGGTACTGGAGCTCACCCCATATTTCCACGGGGTCCACGCAGACCCACATGACCCTCTTTGCCGGGAGGCCCTCGCAGCCCGGGCATGCCTGAGGGACCCTGGAAGCCCATCGGGCCCTGATCATGGCTGTCATTCACCGGACCGATGCTGGGGGTAGGGGGGGATGTACCATGTGGCCTTCTGGTCCTCGTGGGCCGATCACAGTCTTTCCTGCCGGTCCGCGATGTCCACGAGCTCCTGTGGGCCCCTTCCTGCCCCGCTGCCAACCGAACAATCACAATCCGCCATGCGGCACCGCGACCACTCCTCACCCTGCCCTCCAGCCCGGGGACGCCAGAGATTCCTTGCGGACCTGGAAGCGAGAGGTCAGGCAAGCCGGTCGGATCCCTCTCCCACTGCCAACACCTGCTCTCCCATCCCTTCAAAGGAAAGCAAGTCAGTCACTCAATCTTCCAACAAGATTCGAAGGAGCTACATACCTTCCTGGGGGACCCTGCGGCCCCTGGGGCCCGATCTCTCCACTCATTCCCATCTGTCCTCTCCTCCCTGACAGAGGGTAAGCAAGCCTTCATCAGCTTCGCTGTCATTACCTTCAAGTCCTTGCCGCCCTTGCTTTCCTTCGTAACCTACCGGGCCCATAGGCCCTCTGGCCCCAATCACCCCAAAATTGCCCTGTCACATCTTTCAGTGCGGAACACAAGCAGGAGGATCTTGCACCCTTGCACCCTGGTAGCCTGGCAGACCCCGAGGACCGACGGGACCTGTGCGAGCGCACGAATAACGTTTGAGTGAGAGGTGGCCAGGCAAACTGCGAACAAGACCAAACCTGGAGTCTTCAAAAACCTCTCAGCATTCTCCTCCGCACCATCCACCTCGCGGCTGATGTCTGTCAAGGTCCCTAGACTGAGCTTCTCCTTCTTTGCCTTCTTCGCAACCGCTTCCTGCCAGTCGGACGCGCTCTCCTTCAGAGCCTCCAGGTTTCCCTTGAGCTTCTCCACAAGGTCCCTCAGCTTCTGGACATCGCCGCCGGGGTATTCTTGTGGCGCGTCCGACAGGAACGAGGCGCTGTCCTCGCTCCTCAGATCCGACATGGCGACCAGGCACACCATCGCCGCCACCACGAGGGCCGCGGACATCGCCGGCAGCCTCCACCCGCCTCGCTCCCTCCCCTTCGCCATGGATGCGAAAGGACACGCAGGGGGCAGCGAAAGCCCAATAGGAACAGTCCGATCTAGGCGAAGCTTGCTGCCCTCGCTATAAGTGTTTTATATCATAAAACCTTTTTATGGGTAAAACATTCCTTCTTCGCCCTTATTCCCCCGCAGGCATGGGCGGGGAGGAGGAGCAGGGGAGGCCGGGGTGCATGGACCGCACGTTCGCCAGAGGCTTCTTCATCCGATGCACCTCCATCTTCGGCATCATCATCAACTACCTGCTCTTCGTCATGGGGTTCGTCATCACTGCCTACGGCCTGCGCCTTGGCAGCCAGGAGCGGGAGCAGATGACTTTCCTCTCGCAGCAGTCTCAGAATGCAACGCTGCAGGAGGAGCTCTTCAACTCCATCAACAACCTGTCAGGACTCACTGTCGGTCTCGCCGTGATAGGCATCCTCTCCATCTTCGTGGCGACCCTGGGCATGTGCGGGTCCGTGAGAGGCTCCAGCAGCTGCCTGCAGTGCTATTCGGTGGTGCTGGTGATCATGCTTGTGTCTCAAGCTGCGATTGTTGGCCTGCTCTCTACTCGTGTCGCTGATCTTGATCAGTCTGCCAAGGAGGTCATCAAGTCCAGCGCAGCAGCCAGGAACCTGGTGAAGCAGAGCGGGCAGCAGGCCCTGTACTTTGGGGTCCTCGCCTTCGGGGTAGAGTTCGTGGGGTTCATCTTTGCGCTGCTGGCCCGAGCGGCGCTGAATCGGAAGAAGCGGGAGGAGGAGTGGAACATGGACCTGGGAGAGCTAAAGTCGATCGGAGACATCAGGTCCAACGTAAGCGACCACTTCAAGAAGTCCAAGCACAAGAGCAACGCCATCCGCCTCGAGGACTGATCTTTCTTGCATTGTAAATAGAACACACGGTAGCTCTGAGTCATAGCTCCTTGTCAGAAGCTCCCTGCTCCAGTCGATCTCGCAGTCCTGCTCTGACGCAGGGCAGAAAATTATGCGCCCACGTGTCTCGAACTTCGTTCGAATCCCACCTGAGCGATGCGTGAGAGCAGGGGAGAAAACAACACGCGAGAGAAAACACAAGGAGATAGCGGAAGGGGATGAGAGGAGGAGATGGCGGCATCACTTTGAAATCCATTCCATCTGAGATAGCTCTGTCGAAGGGTAGATATCCTCGTTGTCGAAGTCGTTTAACCTGAAACTGAGGCAGAGCATCAACGCGATTTCAAGTTCATTCATGTTGGATCCATACATTGAGTCTCGCTCAAAGCGGTGAAAGGCATGCTCTCTCGACTTCGTCCGATAATGATGGATCCTGAGAATGTCAACGGACGCTGGTCTGCTGACTGACGGCGGCTCCCCCGAGGAATGGTTGAAGAATACCTCCTGTTTCTTCTCGTTCACGGCAGGTTCATCATTCTTGTATCTACATGCCGACTCGTCAGAGACATCCAACCAGCGGGCCTCGCAGGCCATCACCTGTGATTATGCCCTCCAGCCACTTGTACTCTATCTGGTTGAGCTATGCTCTTGACGACCTCAGATGGCTGGTGCAGCTGCGATCAGAAGGTTCCAGCGCAGTGCTCAGCGCTACCTCTTCTGCTCTCCAGATGTAGTTCTCCAGCACGAGCCCCTGGCAGTATTCGTCACAGCGCAACACCCACATCTGACGGTGGGTAGGCAGACCGGAGGATTCTTGGTGTGGTTCGAAGATCCGAAGGTCAGCCAGTTTACCAGGACTGACAACACCATGTCACACCGACTAGCGTCCAAGATGAGAAGAGCGATACCAGCGGGATGGCTCTCGTATGACGTCAAGGCTGCTCGAAGCGGAAACGCTCCCGGCTGTTCCTGCCCCTGGGAGGGCGGAGACGGCATCAAGAACTCGTCGATGTCGATGAACGCCATCCATCTGCAGCCTTGAGTTGGAACTCGCAGAGGTTGCTCTGGGCGACCACATCACTCACCTGGATCGGTGCCCATGATCATCCATGCACCTGCATCACACATCCATCAGGTCGAGGGTTGCCGCTGGTGGGGACGCATCGACCTCTGATAGGTCGGAACTTGGCAATGGACGTCGCAGACGGCATCATCCAATGTTACGATACCTGGTTTTGAGAGTTATCCGTCGCCATGTTCAACATGCCCGGACCTCGGCGGATGTAAGGTCCCAGCAATTCATCAATCTTCTCATCTGCAAACATGAAATGCGGTCAACCAATGCAAGGATATTGTCCAGATCACTTTTGGAGTGATGGTTGTACAAGAAGAAGTGCTCGACACCCATACATAGATGGAACTCGAGCCATTCTAGGAGGTACTCGTCCTGTCGTCCTGGTCAAAACCTCCACCACTGTACGAGTCTGCAATCCCGCGTCACCTCGTCCCGGAAGACAGCCGCCGCAGAGAGGTAGAACTCTTTGTTATGTCTTCTCGCTCCTGGTATCTCATCGTTGGAGTAGCTGCTGCTGTTATCCTCTTGGTTTGAGTCCGAGCAGCACACCATCATCAACACCGCTCCCACCATCGCCCTCGCCCCCGCCTTCATTCCTGCAAAGTTTGCGGAGCGAGTGTAGATTTGAAAACCAAATTCGATACATTAGTTTATATTTGAAAATTACTACAGAAAGTTTACTGATACTTTACAAGTGAACCAGAAGTGAACCAGCATCGTAATGCCTGGGGCGGGCCAGCAATTGGTAACCGGCTTTACCACCCACCCCACGACGACTACCCTACCTGAGTTCCTGCACCCCCTTTACCACCCTACGTTATACCACTCATTACCCGCTTCATACCCATCTTTGTTATAACCCCCCACCTCCCAAAAGTTTTCTATTCTGACCACCACGTATGGCTGGGGTTCGAACTTGACCACGGGGGTCATCCATGTAGGGGTGAAATTTGAGTGCCAAGTACGGGTCTTTGCCAAAGCTACCCTTCTGGGTTGAGGTGGGGGTACCCCTTAGCATGAAGAGACAATTAAAAGTAGGGTGGGAGTGCATTGGTGGGAGGGTAGGTGGTTCCATTTATGGTGTATAGTGGGTAGTCAACTAATGTTGTGGTGCTAAAGGAGGGGGTGATGCTGTGGAGTGCAGGGTTGAGCGACGATGGGAGTTAATTTTTGGGGGTGGGGGTGATCCTTTTAATATTCGCTGGGGTGGGTACACAAGTCTTGTCTGATGGGGGTGGGTGTTCTATAAGCACTTGTTCACGAGGGGGTGGGTGGGTATTGGTGGGGTGAGAATGTGTTTTGTCGGAGGGTGGGGTAGTGTAGTAGGGTGGAGATATGGAGGGCGAGGCGGTGGAGGCGGTAGCAATGCACCTGCCGCTGGAGGTCCTTCTACGATGTCAGTCCGTGTGTGTGAACTGGAAGGTCACGATAGAGAATGCTGGTTACCTGTGGAAGCATGTCGTCCTGTCCAGAGACTTGCGGCCCAGGCTACATCCTGTTGCGCTGCAGAAGATTGTGCGATGCGCCCAGGGTAGGTTGCAGGAACTAGACCTGAGAGGGTGTGCAAAGGTAGATTGCTCGCAGCTTTATGAGGATGTGGAATGTCTTGGAGAGTATGTTGAGATCATACGGCTGAACAGGGAGGATCATTCCAAAAGCTTGCCCCCTGCTCTGAGCGCTTGCGGCGGATTTCCACATCTTCGCGTGTTGGATCTTTCCTGGTGCCCTGGAGTGGACGATGAGCTGATCGCAAGCATCTGCGCTACCTCTTGCACGAGCTCCATACAAGAGTTGCTGCTACGAGGCTGTCTTGTCAGCGACCAGGGGGTAATGAATGCTGCAAGGTCGTGCAAACAGCTGAGGGTGCTTGACATTGGGGCATGGCCATACTCGAGGTTGAGAGGGGTGAGATCCGTCACTGACGTCAGCCTCTTCTTCATCGCTCAGTGCGCAGCTTTCAGGAGTGAAGATTTCTTGCTGGAAAATCTGTGCATCGCTGGTAGACGAGGGACAACAGACGAGGGGTTGGACGCTGTCATCGAGTACTTGCCGTTCCTGAAGAGGGTAGATGTTCGATCCTGCTCATCCATCACGCAGCCTTCTCAGCCAGCTGACGCCGAGGTGACTGGGGAGCCCTCGGACAATGTCGTGTGGAGGACGGGAAGGAACAACAACCGGGTCGAGCTGATCACAGACTCGTATCCCTCGGGGACGATGACACCTGACAACTACGCCGAGGAGTATGGGGTGTTGGAAGGATGGAGTGACCTGCAGACAGCATCAGGCCTGTGGCGTCTGCTCCAAAGTGTGACGGCTGTGCGGACTGCAGCTGAGATGCAAGCTCGCTCCACGGCTGAAGCCCAGGCGGCGGACATGCTGGCCGAGGCTGCAGAAGTCCTGAGCAGGGCGTCTGAGATCTACTCTCAAGCCAACGAGATGCAGCAGCAAGCGTCTGAAATCCTATCAAGAGTTACTGAGGTACAGATGCAAGTCTCTGTCATGCATGGTCAGGCTCAGGATCAAGGAAACGCGGCAGCCCTCGCTCAGGCAGCGCAAATGCAGGCTCAGGTTGCTCAGATGCAAGTGCATGCCGCTCAGATGCAAGTGCATGCCGCTCAGATGCAGATCAGAGCAACCGAGATGCAAGGTCAGGCTACTGAGATGCAGGCAAGCGCACTCAACATCCGTGCTCAAGCTGCGAGCCTCTCTTTCTCTGATTTCGCACACAACACGTTGCACTCTATTCTACGGGGAAGGTTTCAGATGCAAGTGGCGTACAACGATGAAGCGAGTGGGGAAGAGAGGACGAGCCGTTCCAATGACGAGAATGAAGAGGCCGGGGCGAGCATTACCGAGGTGCCGACGAGAGAGGAGAGCTCACCAGCTTCATCCGCCACTGAGAACCTTGCGGGGCAAGTTGAAGACGTAAAAGAGATTTCCAGTGAAACAAGGCAAGACGGAGGATACGCTGCTACCAGTGCTGCTGCTGCTGCTGCTGCTGCTGCTTCAAGCTCTGGACCAGAAGAGGAAACAACAGAGCGATACCCTTCATGGGCCCAGTCCCGTCTTGAAGCCGTCCGAGCAGAAACTCTGCGACTGACGGAGGCCGTTCGAAGCCTGACAGCAGAGGCCGAGAGAGTTCGCATGCAGCAGGGCAACAGGTCCTCCTCCCTCTCTTACCGGGCTGAGAACGTCGCGAGGAGAGCTGAAGAGACTCTCCGACTAGCACAGGCAGCTCGCAGCTTGAGTGCCGACATTAACAGAGTTACATCTGCAGCCATGACGACCTCCCCTGCTCATGACGAGCAGCCGGCAGGAGACGAAGATGCTCCAGCGCATCAAGCAACCTTGACAGCATCTGACGAGGAGGCTGATGAGCGGGAGAGCCGGGCGGGAGAGCCGAACTTGAGTCTTGAGGGAGAAGTCAGCCAGGCTGAGAGCACTCGCTTGGGCATGGAGGACAACGAAGCTGCTGAGAGCAGGACTCATCATGTGATGCTTTGGTTGTTGTCTATGATTTTCTATCTGAACGAATTTGGATAATCAGCGGCCAACACTGTACCCAAACGCCCCTGAAGCACAGAGCGACCAGCAAGTGAGGGCCGCGGTAGCTCGTGACGTGACGACTGGCTGTCATGCCGATATAGATGCCCGATTGTGATGAACGATCCTAGAGACAAGTTTCTTTTCTTCTTCCCTGCTGTTTGCTCCTCCCTACCCGCTCAGGCTGTTGCCGCTGTGTTGTGTGCCTGTGTCATGCTCTTTTCATTTGCGGTTGAAACCTCCTTTGGCAGATGGTACAGACTGCAGGAGAGACAGCAACGATGGAGGAAGGCGACCTACATGGCGAGATCGAGAGGAGGAGGGAGGCAGCCGAGTCGGTCGCAGCAGTGGAAGCAAGGTGAAGCTTTTCTTCCCTTCTCCTGCCTTCTCCTTTGCTCCCCTCTGTCTCCTCCTCCCTCCTCCTCGTTGCCTGCCCCCTCTTTGACTCGATGAGCAGATTGCATGCGGTGCGGCAAGAGCAGCAGCGGCTGACCCGAACAGTAAGCCTGACAAGCTCTTGCTTACGAGAAGAATGACGAGTCTTGTTCAACCAGGTGGTCGATCTTCGGCAGAGAATAGAGCGACTAAGAGACACATCGGGAACCTCTGAGGAGTGAAGAGGAGGATACATCCTAGCTACCTGACGACCTCTTCTCTTCCTTCCCCTCCACCTGCTTCTCATCTTCGACTTGTTATATTTGACTTAGTGATATCTTTACGTTGCGTTCAGTAGTCAATTTCATTCTCCGCCTCCTCACCTTTCATGACCACATGGATCGGCTCGAGGCCAGCCTGGCGCGGAGCAGCACGGGGCTCGAGGGGATTTGCAGCCAAGCTTGATTGTCGGGATGATCGAGCGGGTTGAACCAGCAGTCCTTGACCTGATTCACCACCTGCAGGCGGTTCAGCTGGAGACGGGAGGAGAGGGAGGGAGGGACAAGAAGGGGAATGTGAAGGGGGAGGGGGGGAGGGAGGGAGATGTACATGATTCTGTGTGCTATCCTCGCTTAGTCTCCATCTGTTCAAGTCAAAATCACCAGCAGCTTCAGACGCAGCTGAGGGAGCAGGGGGCGGCAGTAGGGGAGCAAGGGATACAAGGAAGGAAGGGATGGAGGGTTACAAGCAGTGCTTGCGCAAGTTGGCTTGAATGATGCCCAGGAAAGTTTGTCGGGTTGTCTCGTCGCAGTCCAAGTTCATATGGCTGATCCTTGTGCGAGGAAGCAGACGAGCAAGAAAAACCTGACAGCTCTTGAGTCAGGCAGCTCAACCCTCCTGCTCTCTTCTGCTTTCTCCCACTCCCTTCCCTTCCCCTCGCACTCTCCCTCCCCACTCCCCTCCACCACTCGATCCCGTTCCTTCCTCCCGCTCCCTCCCTCCTTCTTTGTCCCTCCGCTTCCTCCTCTCCTGCCCTATCCCTGCAGTCTCACCAGCTGCTTGTCGGTGAATGCGACTCCTCTGAGCTGCAGGCACCACAAGCTTTGAACGTTCCGAACGACTTGAAGGAAACTGAGAGAAACAAAGTGAGAGGAGAGGAACAATAGGAGGAGGAGGAGCGTGGAGAGGAGGACCACCATGGGGAGCAGAGAGAGGACGATAGGAAGGAGGGGAAGGAGAAGGAGAAGGAGAAGGAGGAACACGAATCGCTGGAGGTCAGAGGATGGAGATCTGTAACGCACATCCTCCATGCTTGATCGCTGACCCCGACACAGCAGACGTGAGAAAGAACGAGGACCTGCACAGGCAGCTGCTCCCTCAAGCTGCCAGCCCGTCAGCTGCACACGGGCAAGACGCAGCCCTCACAGTCTCTCAAGGACGTAGCATGTCTCTTGCGGCTCTACAGGGTCCTCAACCATCCTCGTCATGTTGAGCAGGATGCAGCCTGCTGCTGCTCCCCTCCCTCCCCTCCCTCCCCTCCCTCCCCTCCCTCCTCTTCCTCCGCCTCCCTCCCTGCCGCATCCTCGTCACCGTCTCGTCAAGCTCACAAGTCGCTACCTCATCCACTGGTCGAACCTCCTCGCACAGTCCCGCAGCCTCCTCTGCTCAACCCCTGCTCCCTGCCGCCTCTCCTGGCTGGTTCCCATCGCCTACCGAGTAGTCACTGGGAGAGGAGAAAGGAACAGCGACTGCAGCGGCAGAGAGGAAGGAGGAAGGCGAGGAGTGCTTACCGACGGCGGAGCTCGGAGAAACGAGGAGGGAGCAATGCTTTCTCGACGTGGAGGAGCTTGAGGACGCAGGGTCGAGCTGGGCCGGGAAACTGCGACGAAGGGGAGATGAGAGGAGGAGAGAGCAGGGAGAGAAGGCAGGTGGGAGGGGGCGGGTGGGGGGGCAGAATGCCAGGATGCTGGAGGAAAGGGGAGAAGCGAGAGAAAAGACCTGGCTGCCGATCTCGCATGGCGGAGGAAGGGTGCAGGTTCTGACGATTGGAAGGACGAGGAGTCGCAGCGGAAGTTGTGACTTGCGTTCTTGGCCTGACCTCCTCCTTTCCCCTCTTCCACCTCTCTTCCTCACTCTCCTCCTTCACTCGACCCTCCTCGCTCTCCCCCTCCTCCTCGCTGTCCCGCCCATGGTGCGAATCCCCTCCCAGCAGAGCTCTGCTTCCTGACAGAATGACTACATCGTCTGCTCCTGCATGCCCATCAGGTAAAGTTGAAGAGGTGTCCCCCGCCATCCCCTGCTGCTCCTCCTGGTCCTCCTGCTCCCATCGTACTTCCTTTTCATGTTCCCCAAAGAGCAGGAGCGAGTCCTGCGATCCTTCATACCAGGAGGCAGTCTCCGAGTCGTCGGACAAAGAAGGCTCCTCAACGACCTGCCTGCCCACCGACCGCCCCTCCTCCTCCTCCTCCTCCTCCCTCGCATTTCTCTGCCGAATGCTCCGTGGTGGGGCAAGGGGGGAAGAGACGAACGCGAGGGGAGAGGTCATCTGGATGGTCGGGCTGAGAGGCGAGGAGGCCAAGCAGGGCGGCGGCAAACGAGGAGAGGAGGAGGAGGAGTAGAAGGAGGAGAAGGAGGAGAAGGAGGCGATAGGGGTGGAGCAAGAGCAGGGGGAGGGGGAGCAGGACAGGGGGAAGCGAAGGATTAAAAAGAGTGAGCGAGTAGCTGATGGCCATCAGATAATTTCACCGAATCTTCCAGCGCGACATTCGAAGACAGAGATGCGACCAGAGAGCAGCCACCACCTGACACGTGCATCACGAGGAATTCCTCCTCCTCCTCCTC